CTTTCTACAATATGTAAGAAAGGAAGATTTTATGTGTTGTGTTTGTTTTGAAAATTAAAAATAAAAAAACATTTTAAAAAAAGTAGAAGCAGACTTATTCGGATGCTTGACAACTGACTCACATTTATGACCGTTGCCGTGTCCCAGGGTCATGTGACCCTCTTTTGAGACCTTCTGACAAGCAAAGTCAATGGGGAAGCCAGGTTCACTTAACAACCATGTTACTAATTTATTAGCTGCAGTGATTCGCTTAACAAATGTGGCAAGAAAAGTCGTAAAATGTGGCAAAACTCACTTGACAGTTTCTCACTCAGCAACATAAGTTGTGGTCGTAAATTGAGGACTATTTGTATTAGACTGCAAGTTACTGTCCACAGAGAAGAGGGCCAGTGTTTTCCCTATTCTTGGAATTGTGAAAATAAAACTTCCTTTTTCACGATCCCGTTTCCCCACCGAAATTATACAATTGCTGGTTTTTCAGGTGACTTCCTTGAAGCTACAATATATATAGACTGGTCAAAAGGCAAACTTTGCAAATTACAGATTAACAGAGTTGGAAGGGACCTTATAGGTCATCTAGCCCAAGCAGGAGACCCTACACCATTTCTGACACATGGCAGCCCAGTCTCTTCTTGAAAGCTTCCAGTGATGAAGCTCCTACAACTTCTATTCCATTGGTTAATTGTTTTCATTCCTCCTTATTTCCAGGTTGAAACTTTCCTTGATCAATTTCCATCCATTATCCCTTGTCTGGCCTTCAGGTGCTTTGGAAAATAGCTTGCCCCCCTCCTCTCTGTGGCAGTCCCTCAAATATTGGAAGATTGCTATCGTGTCTCCCCTGGTCCTTCTTTTCACTAGATCAGACATGCCCAGTTCCTGCAACTGTTCATCCTATGTTTTAGCCTCCAGTCCCCTCATCATCCTGGTTGCTCTTCTCTGCACTCTTTCTAGAGTCTCAATATCTTTGTCACAGTGTGGGGCCCAAAACTGGATGCAGTACTCTAGGTGTGGTCTTACTAGGGCTTTATAGAGTGGTATTAGTACTTCCCTTGATCTTGATTGTATCATTCTCTTAATGCAACTTGGGGTTGCATTGGCTTTTTTGGCTGCCACTGCACACTGCTGGCTCCTATTTAACTGGTTGTCCACTAAGACTCCAAGATCCCTCTCACAGTTATTGCTATTAAGCCTGGTTTCACTCAATCTATATGTGTACTCCTTCCATCCCACTTTCATAAGATAAAAATGCAAATAATAAGAACCTACGTCCTTGTCCCGTTGGAAGTGCATCCTGAGTTTATGTGCCCTTCATAGTACTCCATAGCTTCTTCCAGATGGGCTTGAATTTTTGATGCTAAACACCAGGGACAGCATGGAGTGTGAGAAAGAGGAGAGAAATAAGGAGTCTCCGTTAGCATGACAACAAAATCAGTATGAACAGATAGTTTGAAGATCTAAACAGGAACAGAAATGGTGGTAATCTTCAAGGCCTTCAACACTGAGTTTGTCCTCTTCTGTGGAGCTTCCTCTACTGGACATCTACCAGATGTGTTGGGAGTGCTATCTGCAGAAAGCCTTGCTTGATTGGAGATTACAGGTAAATCCTCTACTTACAACCACAACTGGTTTGATACTATGATCACAAATGTCATCTTGATCTTTGTGACATATACACACAAGTACACAACACCACAGACACCCCTGTTTCACCCCTTCAGTCATTTTTCCAACCAGATTGACAGAGTTGGAAGGACCTTGGAGGTTTCCTAGTCCAACTTCCTGCTCATGCAGGAGATCCTATACCAATAGTCGTCCAATCTCTTCTTAAAAATCTCCAGGGATGGAGCATCCACAATTTCTGGAGGTAAGATATTCTACTGATGAATTGTTCTCATTATCAGGAAACTTCTTAGTTCTAGGTTGGATCTCTGATAGGTTTCCATCTGTTACATCTTGTCCTGCCTTCAGGCCCTTTGGAGAATAATTTGACCCTCTCTTCTTTTTGGATGGCTCTCAAATATTGGAACACTGCTATCATGTCCCTCCTACCCCTTCTCTTCATTAGACTAGACATTCCCAGTTCTTGTAACTGTTCTTTATATGTTTTAACTTCCACTCCCCTAATCATCTTTCTTGGTTTTGGCACTCTNAAACTATTAACTAAGGGTGCATTACTACTACTATTAGTCTTCTCAGCATTCCTATCACCCATCTCCTCCCACTTATGACTGCAGGACTGTAACTTTGTTACTTGAATCCTTATGATTTATATTGATATTGATTGTTTCCTGATTGCTTATTTGTACCCTATGACTATCATTAAGTGTTGTACCTTATGGTTCTTGATGAATGTAACTTGTCTTTTATGTACATTGAGAGCACGTGCACCAAAGACAAATTCCTTGTGTGTCCAATTACACTTCGCCAGTATTCTATTCTATTCTATTCTATTCTATTCTACCCATTTCTTATACGCAAGAAAATCAACACAGGGCAACCTTGAGCTTCTTCCTTACCCACACCTCCTTTCCAAAACTAAGCATGTATCTTATAAAACATCCATTGAATCAATCAACCAAATCTTTGTTATGGTCATAAACTAATATGAGAGCCATGGTGGCACAATGGTTAGAGTGCAGTACTGCAAGCTACTTCTGCTGCCTGCTGGCTGCCTGCAGTTTAGCAGTTCAAATCTCACTAGGCTCAAGGTTGACTCAGCCTTCCATCCTTCCGAGGTGGTCCCAGATTGTTGGGGCCAATATGCTGACTCTGTAAACCACTTAGAGGAGGGCTATAATGCACTGTAAAGTGGTATATAAGTCTAACTGCTATTGCTAAAAGCAGCTGTTGAATCCCTTGTTCAAGGTTGTCTCCACACTCCTCTACTACAATTTTCTATATATTCATCAGCTTCTGCTCTAAGGCCAAAATGGGATAAGGAAACTGCCACTTTTGTCTCCAAACCTGGGAAACTTCAGATTATTGATGATTGACCCTCTATGCCAAATTTCCACCCCTGTCACCCCCTGAAAGTTGCAGCAATGGCCTACCTGAAAGAGGCAAGAAGCTTTCAGGTAAATGCAGATAAGCCTTGTTTCCTTTGCAGGAGTTGTTTGGACACTCTCCAAGAACGATTTTGGAAAATACATGGAATGGTGACTCTCTCCCGAAGCATCATAATCCTGCAGTGCAGCGTGAAACAGACATTTATGCAAATTATTATCAATGATGACACCTTTAGAATATTAGACTTTCCCCTTTGCACCTGCAATTGACGAGAATTAAAACTCTGTGTTTGGAATTCCATCACGACTGGAATGGGATTGGGTGGCCATGGATCAGCCTAGGAAGGTAACCAGTATCTTAGGATGCTGCGGAGAGGGGGACCTTGTCTTTAATGATCACATTAGTGTTAATCACATTCATGATAATGCTCTTTCTACGGATACAGTAGCATGCTGTTTGAACACAGCAATAGTGGGTTTCCAGTGATGGATTTAACATTTTGTGTGAATCCAGGCTGTGTGTGTGAACAAAGAACAGAATAATTCATAGACGTATTCTAGCATTCTTGGCCTGCTCTGAGTTGCCATAGGCAAGTGGGATGGGAAACTGACAAAGCAGCATGGCAGCCACAAACAGAAGCACATCCCAGACGTATCTTTCTCAAGGTATGCCAGGGTTACCCACAACCGGCTGGAGGGGAGTGATCTGTACAACCCGGGAAATTGCTCTGTGATTTATGACACACCTGGAGGGAGGGAGGGAGGGAGGGAGGGAGGGAAACAGGGTCATAATTGGGCCATAAAGTACATGGGGTCAGAGTTGGCTTCACATGAAGCTCCTAATAAATAACTGGGTTTCTTTTGAAGCTTGGCTGGAGGCTCATGATTTAATTAGGGCATCCGTTGGAACCCTGACATATTCTTATTCTTGCGCCATATCCATCATTGGACATTGGCGATCATGTTGGCAATCCTATTTTTATCAACAGCTGCACGAAAAAGTACTGCCGAGTTTTGTTCGAAGCAGTCTGGAGTAGAATTAAACATTCTATAACAAGGATCAAATAACTCAACCACTATTTCTCAATCTTGACAACTTTTAAGCTGGGTAGATTTCAACTCTTAGAATTCCCTAGGATGCTGCCTGGAGAATTCTGGGACTTGAAGTCCATATATCTTCAAGTTGGCCAAGTTGAGAAACACAGAATTAGATAGATAGTGTGGAGAAGGAAAAATACTTACTAAGACATCCTTACTATCGATAGATAACTCTTTGGAATCGTTGTTGTTCATTCTGCATATTAATGTTTGAATATTAGGGTGACTAGTAATGAGGAGATCCCCCTCGAAATGGACTTCCATCATAATCTCCTCCAATTTCCCAAGAATTCTATAAGAGGAAGAAAGAAAGAAAAGAAAGAAAAGAAAAGAAAGAAAGAAAGAAAGAAAGAAAGAAAGAAAAAAGGAAGGAAGGAAGGAAGGAAGGAAGGAAGGAAGGAAGGAAGCAAGGAAGGAAGGAAGGAAGGAAAAAGCCATAGGTTTTATGAGAGGAATAAATTCTGGAGTAATTCAATGATCAATTTTCAGATTACATTATTTGTACAATTGGTAGATCAACATATACCAGGAGGATCCAACGGATAATCAATAACAGTCTCTTTTATTTCATTGCTCTATAGCAATGTTTCTCAAAATTGGCATGTTGAAGATGGATTCCTGCTGGCTAGCAAATTCTGGAATATTTCTTAAAGTCACCAAGGTTGAAAGGCGATGTCAGCCTCTGCTTTGCTGCTGCTTCGGCTGCCATTGAAACGGGGAGGGGGGCATGGTATTTGGGAGGGGATTGCTAATTGTGCTGGAGGAAGATTCTCAAGTCTCTGCTGCCTGTCTTACTGCACATGTGGAGGAGATTCCCGCCAAGGCCAACAGCACCGACATTCCATCTTGGTGATGCCTTTCAAAGTTATCTCACACCTGACACTTGGAAGAATTATGATTGGACTGTAACTGGGATGCCAAGGGGTGGTGAATGGGTTATTCTATATATCAATTGCTTTCGCGCCTAAATAATCAGTCTTCGCTTTGCTACGCTTCTNCCCACTTTACAGGGCTAATCCTATAAGGAAGGCAGGAAGGAAACATTCTGGTGTTGTTTCTAGACTGATCTTTATTGCCCTGCTTAGAGAAACTGCCTCTCCGGTTAACCCTTATTACATTGTAACAGCTAAGGCGACGCGCCCATCGATGTGAGTTGGCCATGGCCACATTGTCACATGACCACCCAGCTATGCCTACCCAGCTGGTCATTATGGCAGAGAACTGGTTGTTAAATTATTTGAATCTCACCACTGTGTGAAGCGGTATATAAGTACTATTGCTATTGTTATTGCCCACGATGGTCGTATGTCATGACAGTTGTAAAAACGGTTGGCCATGTGTCTGACCCAATTTTATGAATATTAGAAACCTGGATGATGTGTACTAATTCTTATGCTTACTTTCCCTTTTATTTCTACTCACCAACATATACCTGGATAAGTGCTATGCATTTTGTGACGTTCTGTGTTTGATGGCTGTGGGGTTTTTTGTCCTATGATGTTTTTTTTAAGTTTTAAAGAATACACTGACAGAACAAGGTTTTCTTAACGCATGGGCCTGATGGGCACTTACCCATGGGCCCCACGAGCATGGGGGCCCCATACTAATCTCTGTATTGTTCAAATCTTTATCATGTTGACTAGGTATCGCTGTGCAGCATGTTTTTAATGTTTCAACACTGATTTTGTTGGAAGTGCCAATAAAATAAATATATGCTTAATTGTATCGACCATTTGCACTTTTATTCCTGTGAGTAGTTGTCGTAGGGGCCCCATACTAGGGCCCCAGGCTGTTAAGATGGCCCTGCTACAGAGTAAGCACCACTCCTCAGATCTAAAAAAGACTCAGCTGTTTCTATGGAAACGGCCATCATTGCAGCACGTTTCTATTCTATAAAAGTTCCTCTTCTATAAAAAGTGTAACCACATCCTTTGGATGATGAATCATTCCATGAAATTTCCCTTGGTGTTTATATTTTTTAACCCATAAAGAACAAAGGCTCTTAAGAGAGAGAGAGATTTAATTTCAATATAAGGAGAGCTGCAGAAAAACCTGAACAGAGAGCCTTCCTGGATCCGATGTTTTCCAGATGTGTTGGAATACAACTCAGAAGTGGGATTCAGCCGGTTCTGACCAGTTCTGGANCCCAGCCAACATGGATTTCCCCACCTTGGACTGGTGGACTTCAACTCCCAGAATTCTCAGGCAGCATGAACTCACCTATCTTGGACTGGTGGACCTCAACTCCCATGTGTTATCTCTGGGGGGAAACTGTCCTAGAGGGTAGGGTGGGCAGAGAAGTCTCCTTTGCTTGGTTCCACAGGATGCCAGCTTTGAAAGAATGGAGCTGTAGCCACCCACTCTGCCAGGATGTGGCAGAGGGGCAAAATTAAATTTCCTTTCAATGGCAGAAGCTGGTGATATCAAATTATCTGATCACCTTTACTTCGTAGAAGAGATCTTTGTGGATGAACTGCCTACGCTCGACTTAATCTTAAACTCAGATTAGCAAACCACAAAGTGCTTTTGTTCGCGTAACATGCTGGCCCTGCAAATTGAGATGTAAATTCAGTGAGTGAATCACTAGGGAAATAATGTTTAGCCCAAGTGCATCTGTAGGGCAGGTCAAAAAAGTCAAGGTGGCGTCCTCAACCATGCCATCAAAGCTCCATACATTTTGAACATGCTTTCTAGACCAACCTTAAAGAGTTAAACCACATAGTTAATCCCAAAGATGCTTTTTCTTTGAAGATGTTCCATTTCTCATCCAAGAAGCTTCTTCAGCTCTGGCTGGATGGTGGGGATGAAGAAGCTTCTTGGATGAGAAGAAAAATGTCTTTAAAGAAAAAATAATAAAGGCCAATTGTCTCTTGAAAAAAAGCACTTTTGGGACAGTTATGACCTGGATGACTGACAATTTCTATAGACATACAATCCTTGGCTTATTACCCTGTTTTCCCGAAATTAAAACCTCCCCGGATAATAAGCCTAATCGGGCTCTTGAGCGCATGCGCTAAAATAAGCCCTCCCAAAAATAAGCTCTCTCCAAAAATATTGCAACACAGCAGCAGCCATGAAGTGACCACGCTTGCTCACCGCCTCCTACACTTCAAAAATAATAAGACCTCCCCAAAAATAAGGCCAAGTGCTTATTTCAGGGGTCGAAAGAAATAAGAACCTGTCCTATTTTCAGGGGAACACGGTATCAAACAGGGATCACAATTTCAATTGCTAAACAAGGCAGCTGTCAAAACGAGTTGTGCCCAGTGTTTGGTTTTGAATGATTGCTAAATGAATGGTTTTAAGCAGTGGTGGGTTCTGGCAGCCGCTACTGCCTGTTTGCTCAGGGACGCGCTGCGCACACATGTGCTTGAGGCGTGCTGTGTGCGCATGTGCAGTACAACAAAAATTGCTCTGCGCATGTGCAGAAGCCAAAAACAAGATGGCTGGTTCAGGGGTGTGGCAGGCCTGGGTTGCTGAACCGGTCCAAACCNTGGATGCAATATTCTAAGTGCAGTCTATCACATCCAGTTTTGGTCACCATGTAACCAAGTTCCATTTCTTAAATCATAAAGTACCTATTTTCTCTACCAATGAGAATTGTAGGGGCGAGGATAGCAGGAAGAAAAGGATCAGAATTAAGAATGCTGGACTTTAAATAAATGTTCCACAATTCTGATACTTCTCTTCCTGCTATCCTCTTTCTTAATCTTTCTTAATTTTCAATTCAATAAATTTTTCTTCTTCTTTGAATTATCTTTTTATCTTTATATTATGCTGTCATCCGCCCAAAGTCACTGTTGCAGCGAGATGGTATGCGTAATATTCAATTAATAAATAAAAAACCCATAAATTAATTTGCTATTTTGGAAGCATCCCCAACAACCCATTGCAATTCTTAGGAAAAACCCTTGCAAAGAAATCAGCACCCTCAACTTTCTCCTTAGCCCAAAGAGGTCTTTACCTGATACAAAATTCACAGAAACCCAACAAGCAAAAAACCAAAGGAAAATTTGAGAATCCATGGCTGCTTCTTGTAGCATCTTCAAATGTCTCTGAAAAAGAACCAAAATAAATTTAGGTTTGAGGCATATTTCTGGTTCTGAAAGGGGATAGAGCATTGATTGATTAACAGAATAATAGAGTTGGAAGGGACCTTGAAGAAAAATAGATACAACATAAAAACAGCACTAACAACCGAGACTTAAATGATCATAGAAAGGCTGGCATCCTGTGGAACTCACCCAAACCAACCTCTTTCCCTCTGCCCCCCCCCCCAATAAAATTATTCATTTTTCACATTTTTTAACCACCCATCTCCCTTCGGGAGGAACTCAATAATATGGACAATAAATGTTAAAATATAGAAAGCCTATAAAAATAAAACATTCAGAAAATTTAGAATTTAAAGGGAGGCAAACATGATTAAAATCTGAAAGAAATTAGCAATTGTTTTTTTAAAAATGGCAGGATGGCTCTCTGCACACTGCTCTGAGCATCTCATACAAGGCCACAAAGCAACATTTTAACTCAGGGGTGTCCGGCCTTGATAACTTTTAAGATTTGTGGACTTCAACTCCCAGAATTCCCAGGCCAACATGGATTTCCCATCTTGGACTGGTGGACTTCAACTCCCAGAATTCCCAGGCCAACATGGATTTCCCATCTTGGACTGGTGGACTTCAACTCCCAGAATTCTCAGGTAGCATGGATTTCCCATCTTGGACTGGTGGACTTCAACTCCCAGAATTCTCAGGTAGCATGGACTCACNCACACACACACACACACACACACACACACACACACACACACACACACACACACATCCAAGCCACGCCTACAGAACCAGAAAGAAAGTTTTTCACCACTGGTCTCTGAAATCTCTTCCAGTTCTATCAATTTATGGTAATAACAATAGCAGAGATAGTTTCCTCAGGGCATTAGAAAAAAATCAGGTTCATTGTGAGCCAGGATAAGAAAAGGAATGTAAAATACAGGCAATTGCTTGAAGCAGAGATGAAGTTTATTATTATATTGCATTCTAACCACTTCTGTGCTGTAGTGGCTTCATTCTCAGTATTACTGCCAGGAGTTTGATTCTGACCCACTCAAGGTTGACTCAGCCTTCCATCCTTCTGAGGTGGGTAAAATAGGGACCCAAATTTTGGGGTTTAGGGCCACTTAGCGAGGGCTGTAAAGGATTATGAAGCAGTATAAAATACTAAGGGCTATTGCTATTTCTACTATTTCAATATTATGCCCTCCCGTGCAAACTCCTTATATAGGAAAAT